TGAAATCTGTTTTATCTGATATAAGTATAGCTGTTCCTGCTTTCTTTTTTGGTCCATTTGCTTGTAGGATTGTTTTCCATCCTTTAACTTTGAGTCTATTTTTATCTTTTGTAGCTAAATGTGTTTCCTGGAGACAGCAAAAGGTTGGGTTTTGTTTCTTAATCCAGGCTGCAACTCTGTGTCTTTTTATTGAAGAGTTTAGTCCATTTACATTTAAAGTTAATATTGATATGTTAGCATCTGTATTTGCCATTGTGTTTGTCTTTCCTTTGATTTTATTTATTTATTCTTTTAATAACTTTTTTTTTTTTGGCCTTCTTTCGTTGTTATTCGTCCCTCTGAGGTTCTGGTTTTAGGATTCCTTGTAGTATTTTTTGGAGTGGGGGTTTAGTCGCAATGAAATTCCGGAGTTTCTCTTTGTCTGGGAAGGTCCTTATTCTTTCTTCATAGAGGAAGGAGAGCTTTGCGGGATAGAGTATTCTTGGTTGGCATCTGTTTTCTTGGAGTCTGTTGACTATGTCCTTCCACTCTCTCCTTGCCCGTAGTGTTTCTTCGGAGAAGTCTGATGTCAGCCTGATTGGTTTTCCTTTGAATGTTATCTGTTTCTTCCCTCTTGCCAGCTTCATTATTTTTTCCTTGTCCTGGATTCTTGGGAGCTTTACTATTATGTGTCTTGCTGTATTTTTCCTTTCATTGTGGAAGTTTGGTGTTCTTCTTGCTTCTTGTATCTCAATTTTCAGCTTCTTCTTCACATTTGGGAAGTTCTCTTCAATTATCTCTTTGAATATTTTCTCTGTTCCTATATCTTTCTCCTCTCCTTCTGGTATTCCTATAACTCTTATATTTCCTTTCCTCATGGAGTCAGATAGTTCCCGAAGTTTTTCTTCGTTCTTTTTCCTTCATACTTCTCTTTCCTTTTCTGTTTTGGTTCTTTCTATTTCTGTATCTTCAAGAGAACTTATTCGTTCTTCCATTTCATCTATTCTGCTCTCATTGCTTTTCCCAGAATTCTTTAGTTCTTCCATTAATTCTTTGATCTCCTGCATTTCTTTTACTTCCCTCTTTAGGAACTCAATTTCATTCTTCAGATCGTTGATTATTTTTCCCTTATCATTGTTTTCCTTTATGACTTCTGTCAGTTTTTTAATCACGGCAATTTTAAATTCTCTTTCTGGAAGGCTCAGAAGTTCTTCCAAGTTACTCTCGTTGCAGTCTGGGGGCTGGTTTTCTTTTTGTGGTGTGCCTTTTCCCTGAGGAGTTGCTAGGTTGCATGTGGTTCTTCTACTCCCTACTGTCTGTTTTCTAATTTGCCGTATGCGTTGGGACACTGGGTTGCTGGGACTGGCCGGCATCTTGGGTGAGCTTCTCTGCTCCCCTCTGGCTCCTCCGGGAGCCATCTGTCAGTTTCAAGCAGTCTTTACTGGAGAAAGGTCCCTGTTCTAAAATGCCGATGTGGGGACACACTCCCCTGTGTGTCTGTTCTGCCCCAGTGGTGGGTTCCTGCTCCCCCTCTGGGCTTGGACCGCGGGCCAGAGGGGGTCTGGCATGGGTGAACTTCCCCCGCTCACCTCTGGCTCCTGAGGTAGCCTTCTGCAGGTAGTCTTTACTGAAGAAATGTCCCTGTTCTAAAATGGTGATGCGGGACACACTCCCTGCGCTTCCGGTCTCAGGCACACTCTTCTGCGCCCCGGTCTGCTCCGGCTGTGGGTGCTCGCTCCCGCTGTGGGCTCAGACTACTGGTCGGAAGGGGCCCGGCGTGGGCTAACTCCCCAGCTGGCCACTGGCTCCTCCAGGAGCCTCTGCTGGTTTCAAGTCGCTAGGTGGCGCCAGAGATCTCTCCTAGAGCCCTTGGGGAGCTGATTTTTCCACCCCGTGGGACAGGGAACAGAGCGGGAATGGTAGGGTAAACCTCAATGGCTTTGGGGTGCTGTGTCTGCCTTGTGCCCCACTGTTGTGGAGAACCCACGCCCCAAATTTCATGCCCCGGTCTCAGTTCCAAAGCCCTCAGGTCCAGGACGTGGGCTGTAGCCCAGTTCAGTGTCCACAGAATGGAGTCTTTTGCACCCCGCTCCCGTGCCTGGGTGCCTGGTTCCTGTTTACTCAGTGAGGGACTTTCACCTCAGTGAGGATCTTCGCGCGCGTCTCCCCGCACGCCTAGGTCACAGGCGCGGGGACCTGGGCAGCCGGGATCCCGATCCGCGTTTGCTTTTCAACCGCACTGCTTTTCCGCGCGATCCCGATCCTGATCCGCGTTTGCTTTTCCAGCACGCTGCTTTTCCGCGCAAGCTTACCAGGCGGCCCAGGGCTGTGTGCTGGTGCTGGTCTCCTGGGGGGGGGGTGTCTCTGTTTAATGGCGCCTGGAGCTCACCTCCGCGGCGAATCCTGCAGGGTTCTCCGCAGCTCCCGTTCACGGGGTGTGGTGGCTGAAATAGTTCCTTTCCACTCACAGTCCCGCTTGCTGCGTAGTTTGTTCTTGTTGGTCGTTTTAGTTAGTTTTTTTCCTCCTCTCTGCTGTTCGGAGAGTGCTGACTCTGTGGGTGGGGGAGGGGAGCAGGGTTCTGCGCTTTCCTCCCTTCTAGTCCTCTTTTATGGCAACTTTCTTCTTCGGGTAGTTTGCTGGAGTCACCCGTTTATCTTTTCTGTCCCAGTTCTCACTGGGACCTGCCGCTTTACCTCCCAATTAACTTTTTTTTAATGGGAGATCTTACTCTCAGCGTCTCCTCACCGCCATGTTGCTCTGCCCCTCTGTCTGATGAATTCTTTCACCCATGCTTGTTTGGCATACACCCGATTCTCCCCCACCATAACAAGATGATATTGATTGGAAGAATTTACATTACTAACATGGACATACTCCCCAAAGAAGTATATAGATTGAATACAATCCTGATGGTAGTTATGGAGTGAAAACATATATTTGTAGAGATCTGAAATGATAATTCCTAAAACAAATGCAATAATGTGATCCAACATATAAATAGCATATAAATAAATTAAAAATCAATTAAATACTTGGACATAAGACCCCAAACCATAAAATACAAAGAAAACACCAGAGATGACACATTATCACATCGACCATGCAGGCATCTACAGGGAATTGACTCCTACAACAAGGGAAAATACAACAAAAATAAATAATTAGAACTAAAGGAAATTAAAAACATTTGTACAGTAAAAGAAAATACTAGCATATTAAAAAGACAGTCTACTAAGTGGGAGAATATATTTACACTTTAGACAACTAATAAGGGATCATATGTAAGGTGTACAAGAACCCATTCGACCTGCCAACAAAAACCCAAAACAGGGCCTTCTCGGTGCCAGGTGGGTTTAGCAGCCTGCTGTGAAGCTGTCTGCACCCTCTGCAGTGCAGTTTCGATTCCTGGCCGGCCAGGGAGATTCCCACATGGCGTGGCCGACCTCTCCTGCCTCGCCTGCTGCTCCCCTCCTCAGTGTTATTGGTCCATCTGCTTGTTCTGCTCCCCGCTCTGTCTCTGGTGAATTCTCTCAACCTCCACGCCTCTGACCTGTACCCCAGCTCTTTTATAATTAAATAAATATATATCTCTCTCTCTCCCGTCCCCTCTGTGTGTGTGTGTGTGTATATATATATGTGTGTGTGTGTGTGTATGTATATAAACCCAAAAACCCAACTACAAAATGGGCATATGATTGCAATAGATACTTCTCCAAAGAAAATATACAGTTGGTTAATGGATATATGGAAAAAAAGCTTATCTTCACTCTAATAAAAGAAAAGCAAATCAAAACAACAATGAAAACAACAAATCAAAACAACAAAAAAACAATCGCCTCGCTCTTGTGAGAATGGACATATTAAAAAGAACGGAAGGAAAAAATGGTGAGGATATTGGAAAAAAAAAAAAGAACTCATCCATGGTCAGAATGCAAGTTGGTGCAGCCTCTGCAGAAATGGTATGGAGCTTTTTTCAGAAAATACAAACAATGAAAATCCCATATGATCATTGCACATCTCCATCAGGCATTTACCCTAGATATGAAATCTCTAATACAAAAAGACTTATGCAACTGTATATTCATAGCAGTGCTGGCCACAAGTGCCAGTCATGGACCAACCTAAGTGCCCATCAACAGACAAATAGGTAAAGAAATTGTAGAATACATGTGCTTGGTGGAATACTACACACTGCAACGTGGATGGCCTCAAGGTGGTGATGTTAAGTGAAATAAGTCATAAAATGAAAGGCAGATACTGGGTGGTTTTACTTATCTATGGAATATAAATAACCAAACAGCATATACTGACAAAATACAGCAAAAAAAATCATCTTGAACAAAGGGAAAAAAACATTATTTGTTATCACAGAGAACAAGGTGGTGTGCTCAGTGAGAGGGGGGTGGCTGAGGCACTGGCATGGGTGGTTTGGTGGATGGTGCTGGAATATGGGCACATGTGGAGGAGAAAAAATATACATCCACAATTTTAATAAGTTTTAAATTAGAAAGAGCCCTGTCACAGATGTTCCAGAGTGTAAGTGTTCCCATTACAGCTGACTGCAATCAACCGACATGTCATCCTACAGTTGGGAAGAGCTGTGAACAATCAACTTGAAGATGAGGCAAACCTGGTCACCCCCCCCACCAAATAAATCCAGTCCCCTGGGAGCAGATCATGAAGCCAGGTCAGTGCCTTCATAACATAACAGAGAAAACACACACATGAACAGTGACATATCTCCAAAGTAGAAGGCAACAGACATTTGCAATTGTGTGAAATATTTTCAAAAGATTTTGCATATAACTTTCAAGAGATGATAAAAAAAGGAGAACAATGCAATGAGGATAATGAATATTTAACAAACCAAGTTACCAAATCTAATCTAGATGATACATTAAGATCTCTGACAGCAGAATGCATGTTCTTTTCAAGTTACATGGAGTTATCTAACCTCTCACATAATTTTAGGAGATACATCTCATGGCATTCGTGACCAAATCAGATGATTTACAGGTCGTCACTTGAAGAAGTTCACCTTATTGACAAATGTCACTAAGGCCTGTTCTATATCTCTATTCCTCAGGCTGTAGATGAAGGGGTTCAGCATGGGGGTGACGACCATGTACATCACAGAGGTGATCATGTCTTTGTCTCTGGAGGTGGATGAAAAAGAGAAGTAAACTCCTGCAGCTGTCCCATAGTATAAAGACACAACAAGAAGGTGGGAGCCACAGGTAGACAAGGCTTTAAAGAGACTTTTAGTGGAGGGGACTCTCAGGACAGTCCTCCCTATACGGACATAGGAGCCGAGGATGCCACCCAAAGACAGGGTAAAGAGCAATCCTGCCTCAGTGAAGATGACCAACTCATTGAGGGACACATCTGAGCAGCTCATCTTCAGGAGTGCAGAGAGGTCACAGAAGAAGTTGGGGATGTTACTGTCACCACAGAAGGAGACTTGGATCAAGAGCAGAGTGTGCAACAGAGAGTGGATGAGGGAAACAAACCAGGATCCCGCTACTAAGGAGACACACAGCTCCTGCCTCATGATGGTGGTGTAGTGGAGGGGCTGACAGAAATGGCCACGTATCTGTCAAAGGCCATCACTGCAAGAAGGAAAGTGTCAAGACAAGCAAAGAACAAAAAGAAATACATCTGGGAAATACATCCTCTATAGGAGATGGACAGTTGCTGAGTGTGCATGTTCGTGAGCATATTTGGGACAGTGACAGATGAGAAGGAGACATCAGAGAAGGCCAAGTGGCTGAGGAAGAAGTACATGGGGGTGTGGAGGCGCGAGTCCAGCCTGATGAGCAGGATGATGAGCAGGTTCCCCAGCACCGTGGTCAGGTACATGCCCAGGAACAGGGCGAAGAACAGACCCCGCTGCCCTGGATGGATGGGGAGCCCCAGGAGAGGAACTCGGACATACTGCTCTGGTTCTCCCACCTCATGCTGTTCATGTCTCTGTTGGTGATGAAGGAGAGAAGAAGAGGTAGGAAGTCTAGTATTAACTGCACCAACATTGCAATATCCTTTTTACCTGAAGGCATGATTTTTCAACCATCATCTATTTACTGCCCACAACTGTGGATGCGTGAATCCCAGTCTGTCACAGCGGGCTGTGAGGGTACATAAGACCTCACGATACCCTACAAAGTTTTCGTTCCAAGGAACCAGAGGGCAGTTTTCTCTATTCCACAAACATGTCTCGAACAACTGCCTTGGCCCAGTCTCCCCACAAAGCACTGAGTCCATAACAGCAAGCAGGAAATGCAGCCTCTGCCTTCAAGGAGTTTCCATCTTTCTGTCATTGCAGGTCACATGACAGTACCTGGCACGCATGGCAATGTCATGAGATGGGCAGCAGGAGAGAAAATTTCCTCTTGAAGAAATCTACACAATCTAAACTGAAAATTAATAGCTAGTGATTTCTCAGAAGTTAGAGTGAAGCTGGCAGGATGTAACTGATCACAGATACTGCTGTTCAGGTCAACAAAAGTCCATCTAGGATCCTAAGCAAACTCTAATAATGTCAAATCTTTGTCTTTAACCTATAGCATGCCAGACTCTACACCTATGGTTTCATATGCACTTTCTTTCTTTCTTTTTTTTTTAAAGATTTATTTATTTATTTGTACAAGCACTGGGTACAGTCAGAAGCACGGGAGGGTGAGAGAATTCACCAGAGCCAGAGCGGGGAGCAGAGCAGGCAGAGGGACCGAAGTACACTGCTGAGGGGAGCAGCGGGCAGCAGGAGAGGTCTGCGCGCCACGTAGGACCCTTCTTCGGTGTCCAGGGAGCAGCCGAGGATCGAACCGGCGCTGCAGAGGCCGCGGGCAGCTTCTCAACCCAGCACTCAACCGCTGCGCCACCGGGGAGGCCCTCATATGCACTTTCTACCTAAATCCTAGGCATAGCCCTAATAAAGCAACAGTATAAATCCTATTTCAAGGCCTCCCCGGTGGCGCAGCGGATTGAGCGCGGGCTGTGAAGCTGTCCGCAGCCTCTGCAGTGGGGATTCTCGGCTGGCCAGGGAGATTCCCACATGGTGTGGCAGACCTCTCCTGTCATGCCCGCTGCTCCCCTCAGCAGTGCACTTCGGTCCTTCTGCCTGCTCTGCTCCCCGCTCTGTCTCTGGTGAATTCTCTCACCCTCCCGCGCCTCTGGCTTGTACCCCAGTTCTTGTATATATAAATAAATCTTTAAAAAAATATTATTTTACCTAAGAGGAACAAAATAAACATTATCTAAGTGTGCAAAGATACATCAATAATCAGCAAAAAAGGCCAAATCAGAATATATCTCTATGGACAGAATCCACCATGAAACTCTCCGCAAACATCTCACTTCCCCAGTAGATAGAATAAATATAAATACAGTATAAAAATACATCTAAAGATTATATGATATATATGGTAATTATACCCTTCATTTCATAGATGGGAAAACAATCAGGACAAAGATATAAAGGTCAACAAGGTCTATAACTTCTCTGATGGTGGATTCCAGAGTCACCCTTCCTTTTGCAGTGAGTTACAGTTAAGATTAGAAGCACACACACACACACACACACACACACACACACACACACACACACACTCTGAAGAGGGATCCTCACTGTGTCAATCAAGCAGGGAGCAGGACAGTGATGTCTACTCAGGGACCATGAACTTGCTGAGGGCTCTGCTTACCTTGGTTCACAGCCACCAACAGGACAGTGACTGGAGCTGCATGTGGAGGCCTGGCTGCCCACTCTGGTTCTCCCTGAGAACAGAGGAAAGTTTCTCCGCTTCACTGAGAACCAGAGCAAACAAGCAGAAATCAACTGGACCAAATGGGACCTTGACTGGGGCAGGTCATGTGAGGAAGGCACTGGGTCCCGAGCCCTGGATGGATCAGGCCATGTGCTCCCGTGTGTGAGGGTGTGCAGGGGCCCCTGATCTTAGCCTTCTACTGTCCTGCCCCAGACAGCAGCGAAGTGGGGGTCTCCATCACACTGGAACTGGCTTGGGGAAAGAGAATAAAAATCCTCCTCTCTTCTGAACAACAATCATGAGCCAGGCGAGGTCCTGGGTAGTCTGTTTGCATTGTCCCATTACTCCTCAGAATAGCACTGTATGAGGGAGTAGTTACCCTCTTTTGACAGACGGGATCTGAATGTCAGAGAGCAAACTTAAGGGCTAAGTGAGGACTGCACCACAATGGACATGCTGCAGGCACTGTGGTCCCATCCATTAGTATGTGACACCTGCCCAGTGGGGTGACCTGAGTGACCCTCAATGCAGAGCATGACCACTGTGAATGGCCCCTAAGGGGTCAGTGAAGAATGCACATGAGCCCCATGCCATCGACACTGCCCCACAGAAACACTGCTAGTAATGAAAACATCAAAACACAACCACACACACTACACCTTGGAGTGACATGCATATGTCAGTTTTGCCATAAACAAAAGCCACATCACACCTACTACTTGACTCTGTAACAATTTCAGATCCTTCCCCTGCTGCTCAGGGATAAAGGCAGGATCCCTGCTCCAGAGTGGGGAGCACATCTTCTCTCTTTACACTCTGCAGTCTCTTTCCTTACCTGTGCTGGGTAGCCAGAGATGAACATGTGGGAGTCATGCAGCAGGGAGGGCAGATACTTGAAATCAAAGGACTGGTTAAGAGACTGCAGGTCCCACCCAGCAGTGGTGCCCACTTGCCTATTGGGGACCCAGTAGGAGCTTGAGCTCTGGGCCAAAGAGAGGAAAAGAATCACCTCGTGTCATTTTACCTCTGTCTCTTGTGTCCGTCTCTCTGTCTCTTCCTACCGTCTTTTCAATCTCTGTCTCAGATATGTATGTATAAATATGTAGGTACATGCAAAATTCTGGCAGGAGACATATTTTTATCTACATGACAAGCAAAGACCCATAAGGAATCCATAGGAAGAAACATTTTTGATACTCTTAGAATTTACAGCACACTCTGACCTGCCATTCTTGCTAAGTCAATGACCTTCTAATTAGTGTCTGTGTTCTCAGCTGCTGTAGTGGACGCCAGGCAAAAAGTACAAAGCAAATCCCTGAGCCTATGACCTCCTGACTTTTTGTGTCTGCCCTTGAACTTCATAATAATAGCCAGGAAGATGCCATTTTTTAAACCATGAGAGGACAAGAAATAGTCCCTAAACACTAGGTGAAAATGCCTGCAGTTAATTGCTGCAGTTCCTATCAGACCTTGGGGAGGAGCCCGTGCAGAGATCAAAGAGAATGAACTAGGGAACCACCTGGGGGGGTGTCTCAGGTACAGGGACACTCTGGGTGCCCAGAGATCCAGTAGGGAAGCAGGATCTTCTAACACCCAACTTTTAACACCCATGTGGCCAATGCCCTGGTGTGACAGCACTTGATGCTGGGCTCTGCCTGACATTTTTGGTGGCTCTGAACATGTAACTTCTACAACCTTGTTTCACAAGTTGTTTCAACCTTGTTCCACTTTATTTTTTTTTTTTCTTTCCTTGAAATTTTTTTTTTTTAATCTTAAATTTTATTTTTATATTCCCCCATACGATTGCAAACGCCCATTCTGACCCCAATACTTCCCCTCCCGCCCCCCACCCCCCAAAAAGTGTCTCTGGTTCATAGTTTTTTGTTGATTTTGATTTTCACTTTCTTATATTCATTTTCCTGGTCCCTTATTTAAGTTTTCTAGATTCCTGCTATGAGTGAGACCATCCGGTATTTTTTTTTTTCTTTTTGGCTTATTTCGCTGAGCATGATCCCTTCCAGCGCCATCCATGTTGTTGCAAATTGCATGTGTTTATCTTTTTTGAATGCTGAGTAATATTCCATGGTATATATGTACCACATCTTCTTGATCCAGTCATCTACTTTGGGGCATTTGGGTTGTTTCCAAAGCTTAGCTATTGTAAACAGTGCTGCTATAAACATAGGGGTGCAGGTGCTCTTTGGAATTGATGTTTCTGTGTCCTTTGGGTAAATACCTAGGAGTGGAATTGCTGGATCATATGGGAGCTCTATGTTTAGTAGGTCCAGAAATCTCCACACAGCTCTCTATAGTGGTTGGACTAGTTTGCACTCCCACCAACAGTGCAGAAGAGTTCCTTTTTCTCCACATCCTCGCCAACATTTGTTGTTGCTAGTTTTTTTAATATGTGCCATTCTCACTGGTGTGAGATGGTATCTCATGGTAATTTTGATTTGCATTTCCCTGATTGCAAGTGATGTTGAACATTTTTTCATATGTCTGTTGGCCATTTGCATTTCCTCTTCAGAGAAGTTTCTTTTTAGCTCTTCTGCCCATTTTTTGACGGGATTATTTTCTTTGTTGTTGCTGAGTCTCATCAGCTCTTTGCAGATTTTTGTGATCAGTCCTTTATCATTAGTGTTGGGTGCAAAAATGTTCTCCCAGTTGGTGGGGTTTCTCTTTGTTTTTGTTATTGTCTCTTTTGCTGTGCAGAAGCTCTTTAATTTGATGTAGTCCCAGCTGTTTATCTTTGCCTTCACTATCACTGCTTTGGGTGATGTGTCTGTAAAGATGTCTTTGATGTGCAAATCCCGTAGTGTTTCGCCTATATTTCCTTCTATGTATTTTATGTTTCAGGTCTTATGTCTAGTTCTTTAATCCATTTTGAGTTGATTTTTGTGTATGGTGTGAGGTAGTGGTCAAGCTTCATTCTTTTGCATGTAGCGACCCAGTTTTCCCAGCACCATTTATTGAACAAACTTTCTTTGCTCCAATGCATAGTCTTTGCTCCTTTGTCAAAGATTAGTTGACCATAAATCTGTGGGTTTATTTCTGGATTTTCTATTCGATTCCATTGGTCTGTATATCTGTTCTTGTTCCAATACCATGCAGTTTTGATGATTATGGCTTTGTAGTATAGTTTGAAGTCTGGGAGTGTGATGCCTCCATTTCCTTCTTTTTTTTTCAGTAGAGCTTTGGCTATTCGGGGTTTTTGGTGATTCCATATGAATTTCATCAATAATTGTTCTATTTCTTGAAGAATGCCATTGAGATTTTGATTGGATAGCATTGAATCTGTATATTGCTTTTGGTAGGATGGCCATTTTAATAATGTTTCTTCTTCCAATCCATGAGCAGGGGATGTCTTTCCATTTCTTTGTGTCTTCTTCTATTCTTTTAACAGTGTTTTATAGTTTTCTTTGTATAGGTCCTTTACCTCTTTGTTAGATTTATTCCCAAATATTTGATTTTTTTGTTTCAATAATAAAAGGGGTGGTTTTTTTTGATTTCTCTTCTTCTTCAGATTTATTGTTTGTGTATAGGAAGTACTGACTTTTGCGTGTTGATTTTGTATCCTGCCACTTTACTGAATTGATTGATGAGTTGAATTAGTTTTTCTGTGGAGATTTTGGGGTTCTCTATGTATATTATCATATCATCTGCAAATAGTGATAGTTTGACTTCTTCTTTTCCTATTTGGATTCCTTGGATGTCTTTCTCTTGTCTTATTGCTCTGGCTAGGACTTCCAGTATTATATTGAAAAGCAATGGTGAGAGTGGACATCCTTGTCTTGTTCCAGATCTTAATGGAATTGCTTTCAGCTTTTCACCATTGAGAATGATACTGGCTGTTGGCTTGTCATAGATGGCCTTTATGATGTTGAGGTATGTTCCTTGTATCCCAGATTTCAAGGGCTTTTATCATGAATGGGTGTTGCACTTTGTCGAAAGCTTTCTCAGCATCTATTGATATTATCATATGGTTTTATATTTCTTTTTGTTGATGTGTTGGATAACGTTGATTGATTTTTCGGATGTTAAAACATCCTTGTGCCCCTGGAATGAATCCAACTTGCTCGTGGTGAATTATCTTATGGATACATTGTTGGATTCTGATAGCTAAAATTTTCTTGAGGATTTTTGCATCAGTGTTCATTAGGGAGATTGGCCTGTAGTTTTCCTTTTTTGTGTTGTCCTTGTTCGGTTTTGGTATTAGTGTAATATTGGCTTCATAGAACGTGTTTGGTATTGTCCCTTCCTTCTCAATTTTTTGGAAGAGTTTGTGAAGGATAGGCACTAATTCGTCTCTGAATGTTTGGTAGAACACATTTGTAAATCCATCAGGTCCTGGGCTTTTGTTTTTGGGGAGGTTTTTGATTACCATTTCAATTTCGCTGCTTGTAATTGGTCTGTTTAGGTGTTCTATTTCTTCTTTATCTAGCTTTGGGTGATTGTAGAGTTGTAGGAATTTGTCCATCTCCTCTAGATTGTTGAACTTGTTTCCATATAACTGTTCATAGTAGTTACTGATTATTCTTTTGATTTCTGCTGTGTCCGTTGTGATTTCTCCTCTTTCATTTATGATCCTGTGTATTTGTGCTTTCTCCCTTTTTTTCCTTTGTGAGCCTGGCTAGGGGTTGTCTATTTTATTTATTTTTTCAAAGAACCAGCTCTTGGTTTCATTGATCTTTTGGATTGTTTTTTTAGTTTCAATTTCATTTATTTCTGCTTTGGTTTTTATTATTTCTTTGTTCTACTGGATTTGGGGTTTTTTTGTTGTTCTTTTTCTAGATCTTTGAGCTTCGAGATTAGGTTGTTTCTTTGAGTTCTTTCTTGTTTTTTGATGTGAGCTTCTATTGCTATATGTTTTCCTCTTATTACTGCTTTTGCTGCATCCCATACATTTAGGATATTGGTGTCCTCCTTGTCATTCAATTCAAAGAATTTTTTAATTTCTTCTTTGATCTCCTCGTTAGTCCAGTGGTCTTCCAGTAGTGTGGCTTTTAATCTCCATGAGGTAGGATAGTTCCTTGCCTTCTTTTTATGATTTATTTCTAGTTTGATGCCTTCGTGGTCAGAAAAGATGGTTGGTATGATTTCAATCTTGGTGTATCTGTTGATGTTTGTCTTGTGCCCCAGTATGTGATCGATCCTGGAGAATGATCCGTGTGCGCTTGAGAAAAATGTGTACTCCGTTTTTTTTGGGTTTAGTGTTCTATAGATGTCTGTTAAGCCCAAATGCTCTAGGTCCTTATTTAGAGCTTTGGTTTCTTTACTTATTTTTTGTCTTGTTGATCTATCCATTGTTGATAGTGGTGTGTTGAAGTCTCCCCCTACATATGTGTTTTCTCTGATGTCTGTTTTCAGAGAGGACAACAGTTGTCTGATATATTTTGGTGCTCTTTCGTTTGGTGAGTATATGTTAATGAGTGTTATTTCTTCTTGAAGTATTGTCCCCTTAATCATAATGTAGTGACCATTGGGGTCTCTTTTTATTTTTTTGAGTTTGAAGTCTGTTTTATCTGATATAAGTATAGCTGTTCCTGCTTTCTTTTTTGGCCCATTTGCTTGTAGGATTGTTTTTCCATCCTTTGACTTTGAGCCTATTTTTATCTTTTGTAGCTAAATGTGTTTCCTGGAGACAGCAAAAGGTTGGGTTTTGTTTCTTAATCCAGGCTGCAACTCTGTGTCTTTTTATTGAAGAGTTTAGTCCATTTACATTTAAAGTTAATATTGATATGTTAGCATCTGTATTTGCCATTATGTTTGTCTTTCCTTTGATTTTATTTATTCTTTTAATAACTTTTTTTTTTTTGGTCTTCTTTCGTTGTTATTCGTCCCTCTGAGGTTCTGGCTTTAGGATTCCTTGTAGTTTTTTTGTAGTGGGGTTTATTCGTAATGAAATTCCGGAGTTTTCTCTTTGTCTGGGAAGGTCCATATTCTTTCTTCATGGAGGAAAGAGAGCTTTGCGGGATAGAGTATTCTTGGTTGGCATCTGTTTTCTTGGAGTCTGTTGCCTATGTCCCTCCACTCTCTCCTTGCCCGTAGTGTTTCTTCAGAGAAGTCTGATGTCAGCCTGATTGGTTTTCCTTTGAATGTTATCTGTTTCTTCCCTCTTGTCAGCTTCATTATTTTTTCCTTGTCCTGGATTCTTGGGAGCTTTACTATTATGTGTCTTGCTGTGTTTTTCCTTTCGTCGTGGAAGTTTGGTGTTCTTCTTGCTTCTTGTATATCAATTTTCAGCTCCTTCTTTGCATTTGGGAAGTTCTCTTCAATTATCTCCTGGAATATTTCTCTGTTCCTACCTCTCTCTCCTCTCTCTCTTCTGGAATTCCTATAATTCTTATATTTCCTTTCCTCAAGGAGTCAGATAGTTCTCGAAGTCTTTCTTCATTCTTTTTCCTTCGTACTTCTCTTTCCTTTTCTGTTTTGGTTCTTTTTATTTCTGTGTCTTCAAGAGAACTTATTCGTTCTTCCATTTCATCTATTCTGCTTTCCTTGCTTTTCCCGGAGTTCTTTAGTTCCTCCATTAATTCTTTGATCTCCTGCATTTCTTTTACTTCCCTCTTTAGGGACTCAATTTCATTCTTCTGACCATTGTTTTCCCTCTTTAGGGACTCAATTTCCTTCTTCTGATCTATCACTTTTTTAGTCATGGCAATTTTAAATTCTCTTTCTGGAAGGCTCAGAAGTTCTTCCAAGTTGCTGTCGTTGCAATCTGGGGAGTGGTTTTCTTTTGTGGTGTGCTTCTTTCCTGAGGAGTTGTTAGGTTGTGTGTGGTTCTTCTACTCCCTACTGTCTGTTTTCTAATTTGTCGTATGCGTTGGGACACTGTGATGCTCGGACTGACTGGCATCTTGGGAGAACTTCTCCTCGCTCCCCTCTGGCTCTTCCAGGAGCCATCTCTGCCTTCTGGGGGAGCTTTCTGCTGGTTTTAGGCAGTTTTTACTGAAGAAATGTCCCTGTTCTCAAATGGCGAAGCGGGATGCAGTCCCTGCGCCTCCGGTTTCAGGCACACTCTTCTGTGCACCCGGTCTGCCCCGGACGTGGGTGCCTGCTCCCTCTGTGGGCTCAGACTGCTGGTCGGAAGGGGCCTGGCGTGGAATAACTTCCCGGCTGGCCACTGCAGAAGCCTTCTGCCCTTTTCAAGCAGTCTTAAGAAATTTCCTGTTCTATGGGGTGTTAGTGACTTTTTTTTTCCTGGTCACTAGGTGGCGCCAGAGATCTCTCCTATTGTCCTTGGGGGGCTGTTTTTCGTCCCCCCCACCCCGTGGGACAGGGAACAGAGCGGGAATGGTAGGGTACACCTCAACAGCTTTGGGGTGCTGTGTCTGCCTTGTGCCCCACCATCATGGAGAACCCACGCCCCGAATTTTCGTGCCCCGGGTCTCAGTTCAAAGCCCTCAGTTCCAGGACGCGGGCTGTAGCCCAGTTCAGTGGCGCGGGAATGGCGCCTTTTGCACCCCTCCCGTGCCCGGGTGCCTGGTTCCTGCTCACTCAGGGAGGGACCTTCACCTCAGTGAGGACCTCCGCGTGTCTCCCCGCAAGCCTAGGTCGCAGGCGCGGGTACCTGGGCAGCCGCGATCCAGGTCTGCACTTGCTTTTCAAGCTCCCCGAGCGCGCCGCGTTTCCGCGCAAGCTTACCGGCAGCCCGGGCTGTGTGCGCGTCTCCTGGGGTCTTTGTTCTTCTCTAATGGCGCCCGGAGCAGTTCGCTCGCCATGGCGAATCCTGCAGGGTTCGCCTCAGCTCCCGTTCACGGGGTGTGGTGGCTGCAATAGTTCCTTTCCACTCACGGTCCCGCTTGCTGCGTCGTTTGTTCTTGTTGGTTGTTTTGGTTTGTTGTTTCCCTCCTGTCTGCCGGTGGGAGAGTGCCGCCTCTGTGGGCGGGGGAGGGGAGCAGGGTTCTGCGCTTCCCTCCCTTCTGGTCCTCTTTTATGGCCACTTTCTTCTTCGGGTAGTTTGCTGGAGTCACCCGTTTATCTTCCATGTCCCGGTTCTCACTGGGACCTGCCGCTTTTCCTCCCTATTAACTTTTTTTAATGGGAGATCTTACTCGCAGCGTCTCCTCGCCGCCATGTTGCTCCCCTTGTTCCACTTTAAAGTGCAGATAATCAGAGTACCATCAGTATGAAGTTTTTATTAAAGTTATATTAGAACATTCCTGCAAATACACGTAAGAGCATCATAAATGTCAGTTCTTACCACGTTAGAGCACCATAAATGTCAGTGCTACTGTGTATTCCAAGAAAGGAGATGTAAATATATTATTACTCCTGTTGTTACAGTATTGATATGAATGAATGACAGTTAGTTGATTTATAATTTGAAAAGTCTGTTGCAGTCTGTATGCAAACAATAGGTTAGAAGAGAGAAAAACGAAGAAAATAATGCCATTCACAATTACACAGAAAGAACAGAATACCTAGCAGTAACTTTACAAAGGAGATGAAGGATCCATAGAATGCGAACTATAAGACATTATTAAGAGAATTATGGACTGGGGCACAGCAGACCTCTCCTGCCTTACCCGTTGCTACTTTTAGCAGTGTGCTTCAATAAATCTGCCTGTTCTGTTTTCCACATTGCCCCTGATGAATTCTTTCACCCTTATGCCTCAGGCCTACACCTGGTTGTTCCCCATCCAAATATGTGTGTGTGTGTATATATATATATACATATATATATATGTATATATATGTGTATATATATATGTATTGGAAGAATTTACATTACTAACACGGACATGCTACCCAAAGAAATATATATATATATATATATAACATATATATATTACATATATATATATATATTCAATACAATCCTGGAGGACTGTCATAAAGTGAAAGGCAGATATGGGTGGTTTCACTTATCTGTGGAATATAAATAACCAAAAGCATATACTGGCAAAATATAGCAAAAAACATGATCTTGAACTAGGGAAAAAACATAATTTGTTAGGGGAGAAAGCAAGGGGTGTGAGCAGTGAGTGTGGTGAGGGGCTAGGGCACTGGCATAGGTGGTTTGGTGGATGGTGGTGGAATATGGGCATCTGTGGAGGAGTCAAAATATACATCCACAATACAGTATCTTTTAACTTAAAAAGAGCCCCATCACAGATGTTCCCATTCCATAGTGTAGGTATTCCCAATAGAGCTGACTTCAATCTACCAACATGTCTTTGTAGAGTTGGGAAGAGCTGTGAACCATCAACTTGAAGATGAGGCAAGCTTGTTCAGCCCCCATCACGTAACATCAGTCCACTAGCAGCAGATCATGAAGCTAGATCTGTGTCTTCATAACATAACAGAAAAAATACATGCATGAACAGTGACATATCTCAAAGTAGAAGCCAACACACATTTGTAACTGTGTGAAATATTTTTATAAGATTTTGCACGTAACTGGTAAGAGATGAAAAAAAAGCACAACAAAGTAATGAGGATAAAGAATATTTAACAAACCAAGTTACCAAATCTGACCTAGATGATGCATTAACATCTCTGACAGCAGAATGCATGTTCTTTTCAAGTTACATGGAGTTATCAACCTTCTCACATAATTTTAGGAGATACAGCTTATGGTGTTTGTGACTAAAATCAGATGATTTACAGGTCATCACTTGAAGAAGTTCACCTTATTGACAAATGCCTCTAAGGCCTGTTTTATATCTCTATTCCTCAGGCTGTAGATGAAGGGGTTCAGCATGGGGGTGACGACCATGTACATCACAGAGGCAATTGTGTCTTTGTCTCTGGAGGTGGATGATGAGGAGAAGTAAACTCCTGCAGCGGTCCCATAGTATAAAGACACAACAAGAAGGTGGGAGCCACAAGTAGAGAAGGCTTTAAAGAGACTTTTAGTGGAGGGGACCCTCAGGACAGTCGTCCCTATACGGACATAGGAGCCCAGGATGCCACCCACACACAAGGAAAAGACCAATCCTCCCTCAGTGAAGATGACCAATTCATTGAGGGACACGTCTGAGCAGCTCATCTTCAGAAGTGCAGGGAGGTCACAGAAGAAGTTGGGGATGGTATTGTCAGCACAGAAGGACACTTGGATCAAGAGCAGGGTGTGCAACAGAGAGTGGATAAGGGAAAAGAACCAGGATGTAGCTACTAAGGAGACACACAGCTCCTGCCTCATGATGGTGGTGTAGTGGAGGGGCTGACAGATGGCCACATACCTGTCAAAGGCCATCACTGCAAGAAGGAAATTATCAAGACAAGCAAAGACCACAAAGAAATACACCTGGCTAACACACCCACTATAGGAGATGGATAGTTGCTGAGTGTGCATGTTTGTGAGCATCTTAGGGACAGTGACAGATGAGAAGGAGACATCAGAGAAGGCCAAGTGGCTGAGGAAGAAGTACATGGGGGTGTGGAGGCGCGAGTCCAGCCTGATGAGCAGGATGATGAGCAGGTTCCCCAGCACCGTGGTCAGGTACATGCCCAGGAACAGGGCGAAGAACAGGCCCCGCTGCTCTGGACGGATGGGGAGCCCCAGGAGGAGGAACTCAGACACGTTGCTCTGGTTCTCCCACCTCATGCTGTTCATGTCTCTGCGGGGGATGAAGGAAAGTCGAGGAAGGAAGTCTAGAATTATCCGCAACAACTTGGTAATATCCTTTTTTTTTTTTTTTAAGATTTTTTTCTTTATTTATACAAGCACTGGGTACAGTCAGAAGTGCGGGAGGGTGAGAGAATTCACCAGAGCCAGAGCGGGGAGCAGAGCAGGCAGAAGGACCGAAGTACACTGCTGAGGGGAGCAGCGGGTGGCAGGAGAGGTCTGTGGGCCATGTGGGACCCTCGCCTGGCAGCTGGGGATCGAACTGGCGCTGCAGAGGCTGCGGGCATCTTAGCCACCCAGCGCTCAACCGCTGCGCCACCGGGGAGGCCCTTGGCAATATCCTTTTTACATGAAGGCATGTAAATGCATTTTTTAAGCATGATCTGTTTATTGCTCACACCTGTGGATGTGTGTATCTGTCTGTCAAAGAGGGTCGATGGCATGTTAGACCTCCCGATACCCTACAAAGCTTCTTTCAATGGAACTAGAGGGCATTTTTCTCTACTAGAAATTTTCTCATTTAGAAATATGTCTTGAACAACTTTGGCCCAGGCCCCCGACAAAGCACTGAGTCCATAACAGCAAGCAGGAAATGCATCCTCTGCCTTCAAGGAGTTTCCAACTTTCTATCATTGCAGGTCACATGACAGTACCTGGCACGCATGGCAAAGTCATGAGATGGGCAGCAGGAGAGAATCCATAACTTCCTCTTGAGAGACCTACACAATCTAAACTGGAAATTAATAGCTAGTGATTTCTCACAAGCTACAGTGAAACTGGCAGGATGTAACTGATGAGAGATATTGCTATTCCCTGTCAACAAAAGTCCATCCAGGATCCTAACCAAACTAAAATAATAATATTCGAATATTTGTCTTTAACCTACAGCATGCCAGACTCTACACCCATGGTTCCATATGCACTTTCTACCTAAATCCTAGACATAGCCCTAACACAGCAACAGTATAAATCCCATGTTAGGGCCTCCCCGGTGGTGCAGCAGGTTGCGCACAGAGCTGTGAAGCAGTCCGCAGTCTCTGCAGCGTGGGTTCGAATCCCAGCCATCCAGGGAGATTCCCACATGGTGTGGCAGACCTCTCCTGTCACACCCGCAGCTCTCCTCAGCAGTGTATTTTGGTCCTTCTGCCTGTTTTGCTCCCTGCTCTGTCTCTGGTGAATTCTCTCACCCTCCTGCGCCTCTGGCTTGCACCCCAGTGCTTGTATATATAAATAAATCTTTTAAAAAAATCCTATTTCAACTATTAGGAACACAATATACATTATCTAAGTGTGCAAAGATACATCAATAATCTCAAAAAAAGGCTAAATCACAATATATCTCTCTGGGCAGGTTCCAGCTTTTAACCCTCTGCATACATGTCACACCCCGGTAGTTAGAATAAGGAGACATGTTGTGTGATGTCATTTGTCATTCCTTTGTCCAACAGTTATCAGTCATTACTGTTGTATCATACACCAGTAAGCACATTTACAAAGTGCTTTCACATACTTTAATTCCAAATAATTAATGTATATCGGAGATTATATGATATATAAGGTAAATATACCCTTCATCTCAGAAATGTGAAAAGACTCAGGACAAAGATACCATGACCAATGAGGTCCTTTAGTTCTCTGATGGTGGATTCCAGATGCACCCTTCCTTTGGCAGAGAGCTTAGTTAGGATTAGACACACACACACACACAAACACATTGAGGAGGGATCTGCACTGACTCTCTCAAGCAGGGAGCAGGACAGCAAGGCCTCCTCAGGGACCATGAACTGGCTGACGGCTCTGCTTATCTGGGTTCAAGGTCACCGAGAGGACAGTGTCTGGACCCCCATGTGGAGGCCTGGCTGTCCACGGACCTGTGGTGTCACCTCACTGAGAAACAGAGGACACAAGAAGGAACCAGCTGGATCAACTGGGTCCTTGATTCGGTGGAGGTGGTGGTGCGGTGATTTTTGAAGAAGGTGCTGGGTCTGAGCCCTGGAGTGATCAGGCTGTGTTTTCCAGTGTGTGAGGGGCATGCACGGGCCCCTGTTCTTAGACTTATACTTGTCCTGCCCCAGACAGCAGTGAAGTGGGGGTCTCCATCACACAGACACTGGTTTGGGGAATGATAATAAAAATCCTCACCACTTCTAAGCACCAATCATGGACCAGGCGAGATGCTGGATAGACTGCTTGCATTGGCTCATTTATTCCTCAGAACAGCAAGTATGTGGGAGTAGTTACCCTCTTTCCCAGGGAGGGTCTCAATGTCAGAGAGCAAACATAAGGGCCAGACTGTGAGTGGGCCCCATTGGAAACTGAGCAGGCACTGAGCTCCCATCCATTAGTATGTGACACCTGCCCAGTGGGGGAGCCCTGAGTGGCCCTTCCTAGTGCAGAGCATGACCCTTGTGAACGGCCACTAAAGTGTCAGTGAAGATGTCACCTGGGCGCCATGCCTGGGCGGTGCCCCACAGAAACACTGCCTGTAATGAAAACATCAAAACACAACCACACACACAATCCTTGGAGTGACAGGAATATGTCAGTTTTGTCATAAACAAAAAGCAAAATCACAGCTACCACTTGACTCTGTAACAACTTCATCCTCCTTCCTCTACTGCTCATGGATAAATGCAGGAACCCTTTTCCAGAGCGGGGAGCACATCTTCTCTCTTTACCATCTGCAATCTCTTACTTACCTGTAGGAGCAGCCAGATGAACATGCGGGAGTTATGCAGCAGGGAGGGCAGGTGTTTGAGATCAAAGGACTGGTTAAGAGACTGCAGGTCACACCCAGAAGTGGTCTCCACTAGCCTAATGGGGACACAGTTGATGCTTGTGCTCTGGGTCAAGTAGGAAAATAATTCGTTGTGTCATTTACCCCTCTCTGTCTCTTGTGTTCCTCTCTCTGTCTCTACCTCTGTCTTTTTCAATCTCCATCTCTCAGTCTATGTATATATAAATATGTAGGTACATACAAAATTCTGGCAGGAGACATATTTTTACCTACATTATAAGCAATGACCCAAAAGGAATCCATAGGAAGAAACATATTTTTTTCCTCGTTGAATTCACAGCAGAGTCTGACCTGCCATTCTTGCTAAGTCAGTGACCCTCTAATCAGCGTCTGTGTCCTCAGCTTCTGTTGTGGACACCAGGCAAAAAGCACTCAGTAAATCTCTGTGAGCCTATGACCTCCTGATTCTGTGTCTGCCCTTGAACTTCAGTGCAATAGCCAGGAGGGTGCTATTTTATAAACCATGAGAGAACAAAGAAACAGTCCCTAAACTCTTGGTGGAAAAATGCGCGTAGTCTAATTGCCCACAATTCCTGTCAGACCATGGGGAGGAGCCTGTGCAGAGGCCAAAGGGACACTGGGAGCCACCAGGGGGGGGTGTCTCAGGTGCAGGGGCACTCTGGGTTGCCCACAGGTCCAGCTAGGAGGCAAGATGACTTAATCATCTTCCAATGCCCATGTGGCCAAAGCCCTGGTCAGATAGCACGGAATGCTGGGCTGTGCCTGTCATTCATTGTTGCACTGAACATGTCAAGTAACTTATCTCAAGCTTGTTTGATAAGTTGTTTTAACCTTGTTTTACTTTAAAGGGCAGATAATCAGTGTATAGTCAGTATGAAGTTTTTATTAAAGTTATATGAGATCATTCCTGTTA